TCACTCCAACTTTTTCACCCAAAAAATCCACAACGCCCCAAAAATGTCTTCCATAAAATTAACTTATTTGACAAATTTTAAAGTGAAATATTCTTAAAGATAGACATTCAAAAAATGTAACATTATATCTGTTGCAATTCGTTTGATGTTTGTGAAAGGTCAGTGTGTAAAACATTCCAGTCGTTTATACTGTCAATAAGGAAGTGTCCGGAATAAAAAAACAGTTCTATGTTTTGGCACTTTGAAATTATTTTCAATAGTACTCAATATTATGTGTGTTGCATTTTAGTGAGAGAGAGAGAATGTATATATATACTTATAATTGTTAATGTATATATATAGATCTACTTCTTTTTCAGCATAAGTAATTTAATTTTTTCATTAACTACTTAAAATAATTACTATATAAAAATCAATCTATAACGTGTTCTGCCAAGTTTCATTCTTCCATGGACTTCAATAGCATCTAAACCATTTCCAAACATTTCAAACCAACTTAATCATTTTCATTCTACATCGTTGAAAATTTAAAATAGCTGACATTTAAGCTGAATATATATCAATGTGTGTAGGGTAAGAACAGTATTTTTGCTTCTCAACTGTTGAAGCCCGGGCAAAAATACATATTGTCTAATATGAAGGGCAGAAACTTGATTTGCACATCATTTGACATATCTTTTACTTTTCACAAATTGATTGACAATCTCTTTCATCAACATGCAATTTAATGTTTTAAAAATATATTATACAAACATTTTTTTTTTTTTTAAACAATTGCAGTCTTAAGGTTACATGTTCCTAATCAGTAATATTTAAGTGAAACTGGCAATAATTACTACCGCCACTTTCAAAAGATCAGATATCGTTCAATATAGGTGCCCCAGTCCAAATGAGCGGTTGGGGTGATACAGATTTTTTGGGGGCGAAATGAACTAAAAATTAAGGCAATGTGAAAAAAGCTGGGGCGAAATGGTTTCTCTGTCTAACTTCACCCCCTCCTAATTTTGTATAAATGGTGGGTCTGGCCCAATAGGGGAAATATAGCAAATTCTTTAAAATCCTTTTTCTTCTGTAGGAATGAAAGGATTTGTTCCATATTTAGTCTTAAGCATCCTTGGGTAAAGAGGAACCAATTTTGTATAGCCGTGGGTCTGGCCCCATAGGGTCCTGAGCGGCGGGGCCCAATAGGGGAAACATAGCAAATTCTTTAAAATCCTTCTTCTTCTGTAGGAATGAAAGGATTTGTTCCATATTTAGTCTTAAGCATCCTTGGGTAAAGAGGAACCGATTTTGTATAAGCCGTGGGTCTGGCCCCATAGGGTCCTGAGCGGCGGGGCCCAATAGGGGAAACATAGCAAATTCTTTAAAATCCTTCTTCTTCTGTAGGAATGAAAGGATTTGTTCCATATTTAGTCTGAAGCATCCTTGGGTAAAGGGGAACCAATTTTGTATATACTGGGGGTCTGGCTTCTGAGGGACGGGACCCAATAGGGGAAATATAGCAAATTCTTTAAAATCCTTCTTCTTCTGTAGGAATGAATGGATTTGTTCCATATTTAGTCTGAAGCAACCTTGGGCAGTGCCTGAGGGGTGGGGCCTGAGGGGCGGGGCCCAATAGGGGAACATAGCAAATTATTCTTCAAAATTCTTCTTCTTCTGTAGGAATAAAAGGATTTGGTCCATATTTGGTGTGGATCATCCTTGGGTAAAGGGAAACCAATTATGCATAAACAGAGGATGTGACCCCCCTTGGACCTGAGGGGCGGGGCCCAATAGGGGAAATAGAGGTAAAACCTTTGTAATCTCTTCTACCATAGGGATTAAGGAATATTTTAACCTAATTTAGTATGGAGCATCCTTGAGCAAAAGGGACTCAATTTCGTATAAACAGCGAGTGTGGCCCCCCTGGGGGCAGGAGGGAGGGGCCCAATAGGAGAAACATAGCAAATTATTCAAAATCCTTCTTCTTCGGTAGGAATGACAGGATTTTGTCCAAATTTGGTATGAAGCATCCTTTGGTGAAGGGGAACCAATTTTGTATAAACGGTGTGTCTGACTCCCCTGGATGCAGAGAGGGGGGCCCAATAGGGGAAATAGAGGTAAAACCTTTAAAATCCTACTTCTACCAATGAGATAAGGGATTTTATCCTTATTTTGTCTGGAGCAACCTTGGGCAAAGGGGACTCAATTTTGTATAAATGGTTGGTATAATATAATGCCCCCCCCCCTAGGGATAGAGGTGGGGCTCTGTTTGAAGTTTGTTCTCGCTTTATTTGAAGTACTGGATGGATCTTTCTCAAATGTCATATGTACTTATATTAATTACAGCACCTACCATGGAGTGCTATATCTTTACTTCATACCAATTATTTTAAACATATTCAGGTGAGCGATACACTAGGCTCCTTGTTAACATTCAGCATTTAGTAGCGCAATTTGTTTAAATATTGCATTTCTGTGATCGAACGATATGTTAAAAATGGTATTTAAGCAATAATGCAAACCCTGATACTATATCATAATATAACAAAGTTGTGTTGAACTTTGAATTTTAATGTTTACTAGTATGTAAAATAACCATTGAAGCTGTCGACTGCTCTCCTATTTCTTTGTATATTATAATTCCTTTGGTGGAAATGTTGATATTTTAGTATTTAATTATAAAATAATACATGGTGAATGAACCATGCAGTGACGGTAACGCTTGTCCTTCCCAACACCGAGTGTTAATTTTGTTCTTGTTCTACTTGTTTCTATATTAACAAGAATTAAACAAAAACACCACATTTGACACAATGTAAAGGATATTTGTGGCTTGGCGTTACAATATAATCACTTCTAGGCTGTTAAAATATCACATTTGACAATATGCGTTGTTTGTAATGTTTTTCACTTTGAATCAGACTTTCTGATTGATCGATTTAGTTTAGGTAAAACATGTCATTTTGTGACATAAAACAAATATCAACTTTATCTGAACTGTTAATTTTGTTTTTCAATGGTGTCAAATCTAACAATATTGATCACATCCTATGTTTTGTTTCAGACAACGAAGATCCTTTTCATCATGGCTGCAAATGTGAATGACGACGTAATAACTCTCCATAACACAATGGTGTTTGACATAAGTACCGAAATTTTCGAGGAAACGTTGGAGGTAGTAAAAGAACTATTTAGGGGGAAACCACTGACGTCAGTCGATATGTCTAAGATTAAAAATATCCCAACACTCTTCAAATTTCTAATGAATTACGAAACAATTGGTTATGGAGATTACCAAAAGTTTGTATCTGTGATCAGGTACATACATCCGCGCATATGTTCAATGATACAGGAGTGTGCTGTGAAAATCAACAAACTGAAGGGTAACCTAGACGACCAAGGTAGGCTATGGGTGTTTTCAAACGATCACTATAATAGAGAACCTACAAATAACCACTTTGTTATCGAGATGCATATCAACAGCCTTAACAAAAGCATCCTAGACTACGTAGTCGTAGCTGCTTTCTTACTATCACTTTTATTGTCATCTTCAAATTTAGGAATATTACGGATATGTTATCATGTGTGGTTTTCCAAAATAATGAAACGGAATGAAAACATATCAGGCCGTTTGATTTCCAGATATTCTTCTGTTCTAGTAATTCGTCAAGACTTTGCTCATATATATTGTGTTAAAGTTTAATGTTAAACTTTGTCCCATCGTGGAGTTTGGGGAGGTGTGAACAGAGCACGATATTACTTTAGCTGCCATTGCTTTACAGATTTAATTTCTCGCCCAATTCTTATGAAACTTACACACGTTTTGATAGTTGTTATTATATTGAACGGTATAAAGATGTTCAGAAAAAATGACTTTCTGCAATAACATCGCAATGCAAAATTTACGATTTTAAACATTAAGTGTTGAAAAGGGTGAAATTTTGACATTGCCTGGAGTTTGATAAATTTACGCTAAAATTACCACAAAATTTGTTATTTTCAGTTTTTTAGCTCATCTGGCCCAAAGGGCCAAGTGAGCTTATGCCATGGTGCAGCGTCTGTCGTCCGTACGTCGTCAACTTTTTACTTAAACAACTTCTTCTGAATAAACAAGAGGCCCAGGCTAATGATATTTGGCCAGTAGCATAATGGGATGAAGGGCTATTAAGTTTGTTCAAATGAATGACTTTTGCCCATTTTCAAGGTCACAGGGGTCAAATATGTTAAAACTTTTAAACAACTTCTTCTGAATTACCAGAAGGCCCAGGATTATGATATTTGGCCATTAACATGCTGGGATAAAGCACTACCAAGTTTGTTCAAATGAATGACCTTTGCCTATATTCAAGGTCACATGGGAGTCAAATATGTTTAAACTTTTAAACAACTTCTTATAAATAACCAAGAGGCCTAGGGTGATGATATTTAGCCGGTAGTATGCTGGGATGAAGGGCTACCAAATTTGTTCAAATGAATGACCTTCGCCTATATTCAAGGTCACAGGGGTCAAATATGTTGAAATCTTGAAATAATTTCTTCTGAATAACCAGAAGGCACTGGATGATGATATTTGGGCAATAACATGCTGGGATGAAGCACTACCAAGTTTGTTCAAATGAATGACCTTCCTGTATAGTCAAGGTCACAAGGGTCAAATATGTTGAAATCTTTAAATAACTTCTTCTGAATAACCAGAAGGCCCAGGATGATTATATTTGTTCATTAACATGCTTGGATGAAGCACTACCAAGTTTGTTCAAATGAATAACCTTCGCTCATATTCAAAGTCACAAGAGTCAATTGTCTTAAAAACCTTTAAATGACTTCTATTGTATAATCAAAAGGTCCAGGTTGATGATACTTGGCCAGAAGGATATGGCATAAAGGGCTACAAAGCTCTTCAAATTAATGACCTTCGGCCATATTCAAGCTCACAGGGGTTATTTGTCTTAAAAACACTAAAAACGACTTCTTCTGAATAACTAAAGCGTCCAGGGTGATTGCTTGTTCATGTGAATGACCTTGACACACTTTCAAGTTGACATCTGGTCCATAGTGCATAAATCTTAAAAGTCATCTTCTCAGTAAACAAAAGGTAAAGGGCTATTAGGGTGGTGATATTTGACAAGTTGCATTCTGGGATGAAGGCTAAATGTTTGTTAAATTTAATGTCTGTCTTTGACTTTCAAGGTTATAGGGGTCAAATGTGTTTAAATCCTTTAACAGGTTCTTCTGAATGATTTAAAATGACTTCTAGATAACGTAAAATCACATGGATATTTGACCAGTAGCTTGCTAGCATTAAGGGCTTCAAACTTTGTTCAACTGAATGACCTTTTTCATCATCATCCAATGCCACAGATGTGACATTATACAAATTTGTTTTGAAAATAATTTGTTGAACTTTAAGAAATTTGAATTCAATTGACTTGACTATGTAATAAACATGTTTTTCATATTTTTCCAGGTGACCTGGCTGCTATANCAACTTTATTTTTATTATTACGTTACACTTGTTTTTCAACGGTGTTAAATTTAATACTATTTATCATATTGTATGTTTTGTTTCAGAATACAATTGTAAAGAAACAGTTTGCCATGGCGTCAAATGTGAATGACAAGGTAAAAACTCTCCATAACACAATGGTGTTCAACATAAGTACCGAAATATTTGGAGACCAATTGGAGAATGTGAAATTTCTATTTAAGGATACTCCGCTGACATCGCATGATATGTTTAAAATTAAAAACATCCAAACACTCTTCGAACATCTCATGAATTACAAAACAATCGATTATGGAAATTACCAAAAGTTTGAATCTATGATTGGGTGCATACATCCAAAGGTGTGTTCAATGGTACAGGAGTGTGCTGTGAAAATCAACCAACTGAAGAGTAACCTAGACGACCAAGGTAGGCTATGGGTGTTTTCAAACGATCACTATAATAGAGAACCTACAAATAACCACTTTGTTATCGAGATGCATATCAACAGGCTTAACAAAAGCATCCTGGACTACGTAGTTGTAGCTGCTTTCTTACTATCACTTATATTGTCATCTTAAAATTTAGGAATATTACGGATATGTCATCATGTGTGGTTTTCCAAAAAAATGAAAAGGAAAGAAAACATATCAGGCCGTTTGATTTCCGGATACTCTTCTGTTCTAGTAATTCGTCAAGACTTTGCTCATATATATTGTGTTAAAGTTTAATGTTAAACTTTGTCCCATCGTGGAGTTTGGGGAGGTGTGAAAACAGCATGATATTACTTAATTAGCTGCCATTGCTTTACAGAATTAATTTCTCGCCCAATTCTTATGAAACATACACACGTTTTGATAGTTGTTATTATATTGAACAGTATAAAGATGTTCAGAAAAAAAATAACTTTCTGCAATAACATCGCAACGCAAAATTTACGATTTTAGTGTTAAACATTAAGTGTTGAAAAGGGTGAAATTTTGACATTGCCTGCAGTTTACACTAAAATGACCACAAAATTTGTCATTTTCAGTTTTTTAGCTCATCTGGCCCAAAGGGCCAAGTGAGCTTATGCCATGGTGCAGCGCCTATCGACCATCCGTCGTCTATCGTCTGTCATCCGTCCGTCCGTCGTCAACTTTTTACTTAAACAACTTATTCTGAATAAACAAGAGGCGCAGGCTAATGATATTTGGCCAGTACTCACGGCAGTAGCATAATGGGATGAAGGGCTGCCAAGTTTGTTCAAATGAATGACCTTTTCCCATTTTCAAGGTCACAGGGGTCAAATATGTTAAAACTTGTAAACAACTTCTTCTGAATTACCAGAAGGGCCAGGATTATGATATTTGGCCATTAACATGCTGGGATGAAGCACTACCAAGTTTGTTCAAATGAATGACCTTCGGCTATATTCAAGGTCACAGGGAAGTCAAATATGTTAAAACTTTCAAACAACTTCTTCTAAATAACCAAGAGGCCTAGGGTGATGATATTAGGCCGGTAGTATGCTGGGATGAAGGGCTACCAAATTTGTTCAAATGAATGACCTTCGCCTATATTCAAGGTCACAGGGGTCAAATATGTTGAAATCTTGAAATAATTTCTTCTGAATAACCAGAAGGCACTGGATGATGATATTTGGGCAATAACATGCTGGGATGAAGCACTACCAAGTTTGTTCAAATGAATGACCTTCCTGTATAGTCAAGGTCACAAGGGTCAAATATGTTGAAATCTTTAAATAACTTCTTCTGAATAACCAGAAGGCCCAGGATGATTATATTTGTTCATTAACATGCTTGGATGAAGCACTACCAAGTTTGTTCAAATGAATAACCTTCGCTCATATTCAAAGTCACAAGAGTCAATTGTCTTAAAAACCTTTAAACGACTTCTATTGTATAATCAAAAGGTCCAGGTTGATGATACTTGGCCAGAAGGATATGGCATAAAGGGCTACAAAGCTCTTCAAATTAATGACCTTCGCCCATATTCAAGCTCACAGGGGTTATATTTGTCTTAAAAACACTAAAAACGACTTCTTCTGAATAACTAAAGCGTCCAGGGTGATTGCTTGTTCATGTGAATGACCTTGACACACTTTCAANGAAAGTTTGTTGAATTTAATGTCAGTCTTTGACTTTCAAGGTCATAGGGGTCAAATGTGTTTAAATCCTTTAACAGGTTCTTCTGAATGATTTAAGTCAAGACACTGATATTTTGCCTGTACCTTTATTTTAGTCAACTTTTAAGGTAACAATTGTGAGATTAATACCAGGTGAGTGATGCAGGCCCATTGGGCCCCTTGTTTTAAATTCCTGCTAAGAATAGGTTTCAAGTTTTTTTTATATGTTTTTCAGATGCATGTTTGCTTTACAAGTGATCATATTTTGTTAAATTGATATAATCATGTTGCACCAGAACGTGATTTAAACCTCAGAATCCTTAACATGTGTCAGTAGTGATACTCCGTTATAACTAACTATATAGGTATCGCTAGAAAGTGTTACGTACATGTGTATTTTAATACACATTTTACGATGCTGTCAGTTTTTAAATTTCAATTCAACATTTATGGATTACCAAAATCTAACATGCAGTTTGGAACTAATTCAGTTTTATTTCTTTCATTTCCAAATAAATAATGCCTCAAAAACTGACAGTCTGGTCTAGTTTTCTACTGATCTTGGACTTTTACAGGAAACAGATCTTTGTAATATCTAAACATAGTGTACATGTAATAAAATGTGTATGACACAGTTGTTTTACTTACAGGTCCATCAACAGCCACACAACGAAAGACAGAAGATCAAAGTCAGCAACAGTCTACAGGTATGTGGGATCGTAGTTTTTGGGATGTAAAATCAAGGCGAGATTAAATTGATAATTGCACATGTGTAATGGGATTTGTACATAAGTACAGGTTTGTGTGAGAAGTACATGTGAAGCAGGATGTACACACAAGTACAGGTTTGTGTGAGTAGTACATGTGAAGCAGGATGTACACACAAGTACAGGTATGTGTGAGAAGTACATGTGAAGCCGGATGTACACGTAAGTACAAGTTTGTGTGATACGTTCGTATGAATTGAGATGACATACACAAAAGTGCAGGTTTGTGTTATCAGTACATGTGCAGTGGAAGATAAAGGGGGCAAATATGTTAAAATCTTTCCGTATATATACTTCTTTTGAATAGAGGCCAAGTCTTCTTAATAACCAAATGTCTCAGAATGATCATGCTTACCAGTTACATGCAAGTATGAAGCGCTTTCAATTTTGTTCAAATGAACAGCCTTCACCAATTAAGGAAATTGTGGTCAAATGTACTAGCCTATGGTGATGACTTTTGACCAGTAGCATGCTGGGACAAGGGATAACAAGTTTGTTTAAACAAATGGCCTTGACCCTCTTTCAACATGTGTAAAAATCTTAAAATGACTTCTAGATAACTTAAAGTCACATGATATTTGACCAGTAGCTTGCTAGCATTAAGGGCTTCAAACTTTGTTCAACTGAATGACTTTTTTCATCATCCAATGCCACAGATGTGACATTATACAAATTTGTTTTGAAAATAATTTGTTGAACTTTAAGAAATTTGAATTCAATTGACTTGACTATGTAATAAACATGTTTGTCATATTTTTGCTATGAATGTCACAACAGCAAACACAAGCTATGCCAAAAGTAAGTTTGAAAGCTGCAAGGTGGCTGGATCAGTGGTATAGAGATTATCTCCCCTTTCAATTAAATTTCAGTCAATGAAAACAGATGATCAGGTGATTTGATGAATCATTTAAGTAAAAGAATCAACCTAGCTATTTTGACATAACATTGATATAG